GAGGAGCCGTGAGCTATGACTGAACTGTCTGTACTAAAGTGATTAGGAAGAATTCCTAGTTACTAGGAATGTGCTAGTTAAGTTGAGAGGGATGTGACTAAGGACAGGAGTCAGTCTCAGCATGTTGCTTGGTGACTTCACTCAATAGAGGAGGAGGCATTGTGACTCCCCTCTGAACACCTGTTTGGGATTAATCGGCAAGGGATAGACAGTCAGTAAATAATTAAGAGTCTGTTACAGGGGTTAGAGAGATGGCTCAGCGGTTAAGAGCATTGGCTGCTCTAGCAGAGAACCTGGGTTCAGTTCCCAGCACCCATATGATGGCTAACAACCATCCATAACTCTAGTTCCAGGGTATCTGACGCCCTCTTCTGACCTCCATGGGCATTTCAAGACATGGATGCACTTATACATGTAGGTAATATACTCATACACATAAAATAAAAATAATAAATATTTTAAAATTTTATGTGTATGAGTATATTGCTTGCATGTATGTGAGTGCACCTATGTCGCGCAATGCTGCAGAGGTCAGAAGAGGGCTTCGGAATCCTCTTGAACTGGAGTTAAGGACAGTGCTTGGCTGCCATGTGGGTACGGGGAATCGAACCCGGGTCCTCTGCAAGAGCAGCCAGTGCTCTTAACTGCTGAGCCATCTCTCCAGCCCAATAAATATTTTTTTAAATTACAGTGCTGGGTGTGGTGGTACACGCCTTTAATCCCAGCACTGGGGAGGCAGAGGCAGGTGGATCTCTGTGAGTTCAAGGCCAGCCTGATCTACATAGTGAGGTCCAGGACAGTTGGGACTGCAGGGAGACCCTGTCTCAAAAAGACCAAAAAAAAAAAAAAAATTACATAGCAAATGTATGAACAGTGCTTTCCCTCAACCCTGTTTCAACTAAGAACCTGTCTTCAAGATCCTTCATCTTGTCCCTGGCACTTTTCAGAATTTGTCAGTCACTACTAACAACCCAGTACAATCACAATATTACTAATTATTACAGGAGCTATTTACCATGTAACTAAAATCTAAAATTGACTTACTATTCATGAAAATAAAAAGAGCTGATTTTCTAAAAATATTTACCTTACTAATATACTGCTTAATATTATATTTGATTTTATATATATGACCATTTAATTTTTTTAATATTTTATTATTTTTATTTATGTGTATGAGTGTATTGTCTGCGTGTATGTAAGTGTACCTGTGTGGCTGAGTGTGGTGGTATATGCCTTTAATCCCAGCAGAGGCAGGGCAGGAAGCTCTTTGAGAGGTCAAGGGCAGCCTGGTATACATAGTGAGTTCCAGGCCAGCTGGGACTACAGAGAGACCCTATCTCAAAAAAAAAAAAAAAAAAAGCACTGTGTCATGCAGTGCCCATGGAGGACAGAAGAGGACGTCTAGTCTAATCTCCTGGAACTGGAGTTAGAGTTGTTAGCAGCCAAGTGAGTACTGGGAATCAAACCCAGGTCCTCTGCAAGAGCAGTCAGTGCTGTTAACTACTGAGCCATCTCTACAGCCCCTGCTATGTAATTGTTTAAATAACGTTTTCATAAACTGCCTTTAGCAACATTTTGACTTTTACAGTGTGCAGTTTTAGCTGTGGGAACTCAGCTCCTGTAAGATTTCTGCTGATAATTTGGGGCACTAGCTCCACTGCAGAATTAGCCAGGAACTCAGAACACATCCATCTGGCAGAAATTGGGTTTCCATTTTCTGTGGGATATCAGTGCACCTGCAGATTTTTGAGCTCCCCCCCGCCCCCAGGCAGTTAGCTGGTTTGTCTGAGACATAGTCTCACTCTGTAACCCAGGCTGTCTGGACCTTGAGACAGTCCTCCTGTTTCATCCTCCCCTGTGCTGGGATTACAAACTACCATGCCAAGCTTGTCCCAGACAATTCTGATGAGTAGTAGAAGTCGAGAACTGCTAACTTAAAGAATTTTAAATGTCATGCAAAAAGAACATAAGAGAAAGAGATCGAATGCAGAATGTAACAGGTAAATGCTATAAATCAGTGTTCCAGAGCCAGGCATGGGTAGCCACCTCAGGTGCTGAGCAGAGAGGATTGCATGCGCAGCAAGCCAGCTGGGACTGTATACCAGGAGTCGATGAGAAAAAGTAAATGTCCACACAAGCTGTCAACACTGTCAAAAAAACAGGGGTGGGGGGTTTCCATCTAGAAAAGGAGTTCACTACTAATCTAACCTTAACTCTGCAGTGTGGTACATGTGACCCCAGTGTCAAGTGCCACAGCTGAATGTATGAGGATTAGGAATGGGGCTGCATGCAGGCAGCAGACACTTATCTGTGTCAGAGACACAGACAGCCTAACTTGCTTTTAAAGCCTACCAGGTTAAAACGAAGCCATCTGTATTCTCTAAAGTAATTTAACATTTTTATTTTATGGGCATGAGTGTATTGCTTGTATAAGTGCACTCATGTCATGCAGTGCCCATGGAGGTCAGAAGAGGGCATCAGATCCCCTGGAACTGGAGTTAGGGACAGCTGTTAGCCACCATGTGGGTACTGGGAATCAAACCTGGGCCCTCTGCAAGAGCAGTCAGTGCTCTTAACGACTGACCCAATGCTCCAGCCCCTGTTTCACATTTATTAATTTATCATTCGTGCATTTTGATTTTTAACAGTGTTCACCACCAGGAAAAGCCTTTTTTTTTTTTTTTTTTTTCGGTCTTTTTGAGGCAGGGTCTCCCTGTAGCCCCAGCTGTCCTGGACCTCACTATGTAGACCAGGTTGGCCTTGAACTCACAGAGATCCACCTGTCTCTGCCTCCCAAGTGCTGGGATTAAAGGCATGCTCCACCACGCCTGGCACAAGAAAAGCCTTTTTTAACCAGAAGAAATGTCAGAACTACATAGCAGCCTGGTAGTGACATTAGATCAAGGTTGGTGTGAGAAACAGTGTGTTTCTAAATGTAATATTTGGGCCAGTTTAAGTAAGTGGTATAAAGATAAGTTATCAGTGAAAGGTGTTAGGATAATACTGTATCCACTTGGAGAGCACAGCCATACCACATGCATTCCCAGTGGAGCAAATGGTTAGGTAAACTGAGAATTAAGAAGACAATGCAGGGGATTTTTAAGCTGTCTATAAAAACCACTGAGAAATGATGTTTGTCCAGGCTAGGACAAGAACTCTGAATTCAAAACAAATGGGTTAATTTCCATTTCTGCCTTTAACTAGCTGTGCGGCCTTGGAGCTAAAAATGTCTTGTGAGCAGCCAAAAAGACCTTTACCCAAGGAAGTACATATTCAAGTAACCAGCTTTTGTTCTTTCCCTCACAAACTGACAGAAATTTAGATTGAAAAGAATATGTTGAAAAGACATCCTTGTGCTGGGAGAGTATGTAAATCAGTAAGGCTTGTGTGTTTGTGATCTGTTGAAAGTTAAGATGCTCATCTTCTTTGACAGTAATTCTAGTTCTAGGTATCTCCTTAGAGGAATCATTACACATTTAAAACTGTGCAAGGGCACAGTGCCAGCCTGGAAGGGGGGGTAGGGATCAGACTGGGCAGGCCTGGGCTCAGAGTTGGGTCCTAGAGCATCAGGAATCCAAGCTGAGCCATAGGAGCCCAGTTAAGGCCATGTGTCAGGCAGTGGGTCTCTGGTGGTCAGGGATTGATTGGCCAGGGTTGGTCTCCTTGGCTGGGACCTGAGTCCCCATGTGGTGTCTGCACTATAACTGAGAGGACTCAGCCCCAGCTCTGGTCTAGGGTCTTGGGGACAAAAGCTGGCTGTCCCGACTCACTAAGGGACCAGTGCAAACAGATTGGTATGGTGAGAAGCCGTGGCTTCTGACATGACAAGACAGGATTGTGGGCAGTGCACTTGGTCCTCCGAGCTGGGAGCAGACACCTCATTCACACAAATAGAAAGGGTTCCCCAAAATTGCCTGCTACCCAGCTGGGTTGGAATCTGTCAGCAGTGTCTCCCTGAGATCTGCTTTAAAAGTTAGAAAAAAGTCCGGACGGGCGTGGTGGCACACGCCTGTAGTCCCAGCACTCGGGAGGCAGGCGGATCTCTGTGAGTTCAAGGACAGCCTGGCCTACATAGTGAGTTCCAAGACAGCTGGGGCTACAGGGAGACCCTGTCTCAAAAAAACCAAAAAAAAAAAAAAAAATTCCATCACTCAGGAGACAGAGGCAGGTGGATCTCTGAGTTCAAGGCCAGCCTGTTCTACATAGCAAGTTCCAGAAGTTCCAGGCCAGCTAGAGCTATAGAGAGACCCTGTCTCAGAAAGACTTAAAAAACTGGGTGTGGTGGTGCATGCTTTTAATCCCAGCACTTGAGAGGCAGAGGCAGGTAGATCTTTGTGAGTTCTAGGCCAGCTGGGGCTACAGGGAGATCTTGTTTCAAAAAAGACAGAAAAAAGAGTTAGAAAAAAAATGAATGAATAAACAAAATAATAAAACAGCATGGTTTTGCTGCGGCATTGTTTAAAATAGCTGAAAAAACAACAAGATAAATATTTACCAAAATAACCTGGATATGATGGCATATACCTTAATCCCAGCACTCAGAAGGCAGATCTCTGTGAGTTCAAGGCTAGCCTGGTCCACATAGCAAATTGTAGGCCACTTAAGTCTACATAACATGATCCTGTCTCAAAAAAGAAATGTTTATCAAAATAAGAAGTAATATTTTAGGTCTGGTGAGATGGCTCAGGAGGGAAAATACTGGCTGCCAAGCCAGACAGCCTAAATTCAATCCCCAGGACCCACATGGTTGAAGGAGAGAACCAACCCCCAAAGTTGTCCTCTGACATCTACATGCATACTGAGTCATGCCTGTGCCCCCCCCCCACATACACACGGAAATAAACAAAATGAAAGACAGACAAGTGCTCTGGGGGTAAGTAAATAAAGACTCATGCTTGTGCAGCCAGGACGCTCACCCGCTAAGCCATCTCCCCAGCCTGTTCATCATACTACAGTTTACATAGCTTTCTACTAAAAATGCTTGGACTTGTTTGCAGAATGGAAACAGACTATAATCCCTTGGAGTTGAGCAGCATGTCCGGGTTTGAAGAAAGCTCAGAGCTCAACGGATTTGAAGGCACAGATGTGAAGGACATGCGGCTGGAGGCCGAAGCAGTGGTGAATGATGTTCTCTTTGCTGTTAACAACATGTTTGTCTCAAAAAACCTGCGCTGTGCAGATGATGTAGCTTACATCAACGTGGAGACAAAGGAAGGGAACAGATACTGCCTGGAGCTCACTGAGGCAGGGCTCAGGGTAACTCACTTTTTTTTCTAGAAATAAAAAAGCACATCCTTACCACTTCATCCGAAAGGGTAAGGAAGGGTGTACATGATAACCAGGTGTGGGTTACCTTGGGGGTCGGGTGCGTGTGTGATGAGTATGCAACAGGGGTATGTGGGTGTGGGTGTGTGTGATGAGTACGCAACGAGTGTGTGGGTGTGGGTGTGATGAGTATGCATCGGGTGTGTGTGTGTGTGTGTGTGTGTGTGTGTGATGAATATGCGACAGAGCCCAGAAGAGGACATTGGATCCCCTGGAGCTGGAGTTACAGGTGATTGTGAGCCACCTGATGTGAGTGCTGGGAATCAAACTCAGGTCCTCTGGAAGAACAGCAAGTGTTCCTAACCACTGAGCCATCTCTCCAGCCTGACCATTCAAAAATTTTTAAAGGAAACTTTTTCCTAAGAATTTTGATTTTTTTTTAATCAATGTTAAACAATTGAATTTGGAGTAAAAAATGCATTTCCAAAATAATAGTTTGTGTTCATCGTCACCACCAAACTAATTGATTTCTTATCTATAGCTAAGCGCATCTCCCATAATTAGGCTTTCTCTGCAAGGAGTGTGTTTTGTAGTCTCTGTGTTGAAAGATTTCTCCTCGCCTCTCCTATTAAAACAAGATACTTGGGCTGGGCTGGTGAGATGGCTCCTTGTGCAAGCCTGACGACCCAAGTTCACTCCCCAGAACCACATACAAGTGGAAAGAGAAAACCAACTTCACAAAGTTGGCCTGTTACTCCAGTTGTGTCATGGACATGCACATATACATACACACACGTAATGATAGTTTTTTAAAAATTTTTGAAGGTACTTAGGCTGAGGATTTAACTTAGTGGGAGATCACACTGGATTCAATCCCCAGCACAGGGATGAGGATGGAGTGGGGACCAGGGTACTCTTTCTCACCAATTTCTCTCTGTTGCAGGTAAGTTCTTCTAGGAGTATGGACCTTTTCCACATCCTTTAAACCAAAATTCTGAGTCAGAATAAGAGAAAGCATTGCCTGAGAGTAATTTTAAACAGGAAGAAGAGAATATATTGACCAATTTATTATTTATAGGCATGAGAAAATCTAAGTTTTGATTTTGACTTTACTCTTGGTCAGAGATATTCTTGCATCCGTTGGGAGGAGCCACACCAGCTCATAGAAGGCAAGGCCCAAGCCAGCATCTTCTCCTTACCATGCTCCATGTCCTGTGCTCCTGGTGCTCCTTGGCAGAGCACAGTGCAGGTCCTGCATCTTGCTGCTCTCAGTCCCTAACTTGAGGAGTGGCTGGAACTGACCAGTTCTTGCACACTCCTTTTCTAAAACCCCTGATTAGATCTACAAGCTCTACTGGATCTTAAATAGAAATAGTCGAATTGAAAGCAAAGGTAAAAAGCATCTTGCATAGAAATAGGAAATGAAATTTAGAAATTAATGGCCAAAGTAAATTAATTCTGTTGTGTATTGTTTAGTCATTGAAAGGGTAGGGTAGTAAAGTAGAAGCAGTTTTGGTAGAATCAGAGATCTTAAATCTGTGTTATCTTGGATGAATCTGTCTTCTCATGAGCCATTGCTCTAAAACCTGGAGATTAAAAATGTTTTGGGTGATGGTTATATGAATAAATGGTACATAAAAATCTAGGTCTAAGGATGTAGCTTAGGGGTAGAATGCCTCATGCACACAAGGCAATCTCAAGTACTGAGAAAAGAAAAGGCAAAATTTGACATCAGCATCTCTAGGTGTGGTGGTATACACCCATAATCCTAGAAGGATAGAAGCATGAGGATCATGAGTTCAAGACCATCCTCAGTTCCACAGTGAGTTCAAGTCCAGTCTAAGCTACCTGAGACCAAGTCTCACAAAGAAAAAAAAAAATCAATCTAGATTAGCCTATAAACCTGGCATGTAGTAGGTATTCAAGTGTGTGTTTTTCAGTGTGATTGACTTAACATTTAGTGAGCAGCTGTCATCTCGGCAGTTGGAAATCAAACTAGAAATACGAAGTTCCCTGTCCCCAGAAAGGTCAGGGCCTAGCCTGGAGAAGAGAATGGAATGGACCATGCTGTAGAGTGTGGTAGAGCCTGGGGCTGGAGAAGCCCTTCCTTTACTGACAACCCCTGCTTTTCTGTTTTATTTTTGGTTTTGGTTTGTTTGGTTTTTTTATTTGTGTTTGTTTAATTTTGTGTTGTGTTGTTTTGTTTGTTTTGGGTTGGGTTGGGTTTGGTTTGGTTTGGTTTGGCTTGGTGTTGTGTTGTGTTGTGTTTTGTGCAGAGTCTCCCTGCAGCCCCAGCTGGCCTGGAACTGGCTATGTAGACCAGGCTGGCCTCAAACTCACAGAGCTCCACCTGCCTCAGCCTCCCAAGTACTGGGATCAAAGGTGTGTACCACCACCCTGCTTTGTGTTAAAAAAAAGAACCAAAACCTCAAACTGTTTCCAACATAAACATGTATCTTCATCTGTTGCTTCAATAGTTATCATTAACATGTAGAGTTTATGTGGGGGCTCCCATGCTTTAGGCAAGATAGCAAAAGCTAGGTGGATTTTAGCTTATACTGCCCTGGTAAACTGTGACGCATCTTACAGCCTTGTCGGGGAAAAAGTTGTGTTAAAGAAGGGAAAAAAAGGCCACACACAGTAATGTTCCCTTCTGCCTCATGGATTGACTATTCATTCCCTGTCAGGTGTCATGTATGAGGTCAAAATTACATTACTAATTTTAAGGCTAAATAGTTATTAAAAGTAATAAACTAGACAAGAACTAATAACTATCTAAATCAATTGTTAAATCTTTTTAGGAATAATTTCTAAAATGTTTTAAATTATATTTTATGAGGCTGGGTCATCAGTTAAGAGCACTAGCTGCTCCTGCAGAGGACCTGGGTTCAATTGCCAACACCCACATGGCAACTAACAGCTGTCCTTAACGTCAGTTCCAGTGGCTCTGATGCCCTCTTCTGACCTCCACGGGCATTGCATGACAATTGCACGGGCATTGCAGGCAATACACTTAAACACAAAATAAAAATAATAAAGTACATAAATTGCATTTTATTTATTGTGTTGGCATGTTCATGCCACCACTGGGAGATTAGAGGACAACTTGTGGAAACTGTTCTCTCCTTTTGCCGTGTAGGTTCCATTTTGGAATCAAATCCAAGTCATCATGCCTGGTAGCAAGTACCTTTACCCATTGAGCCATCTCACTGACCCTCTAGAATTCTTTATAAAACGCTAAGTAAATGATGAAATATAAGCCAATGATATATTATCTATCATAGTACCTCAGTGTGGTAGACTCTCAATATACGTGGAATTAAATGAAGGTAGGGGCCAGAGAGATGGCTCACCAGTTAAGAGCGTACTTCTCTTGCAGAGGACCTGAGATCAGTTCCCAGCACCTACATCTTGGGCAGCTCACAACTGCCTGTAACTCCAGCTCCAGGGAATCCAACACCTTCATCTAACTTCTGTGGACACGTGCACTCATATGCACAAACCCTCACACAGACATACACACATACACACAATTAAATTTTTTTTCCATTTTTCTTTAATAACTACATGATTAGAAGAAGCATTTCATTACAGCTTTAGCATATTCAGTAACACTCCAGAGCAAGGGTACATCTCTTTCACAAGTGGCTGTAAGTTTCTAGGTTCACAGTTGAATTAATACGGTTATACAATATTGAACTCAGTATAAGCCCTGT